ACAAATTTCCAAATTGGCATGTGTACTGATGACAACATAGTAACATCACGCTTATCTTTCCATTTCATCGCCAAGACTCCATTTCTCTGACGATAAATGACTTCACCTTGTCGCAATGGCAATTTCAGGGCTGCAGGCATTTCTTTTCTATTCATTCTAGCTGTACCAACTAACATTGTATCTTCAGCTTTTAGATGGTCAATAAGCGTATGACTGGTGTAATAATTGTCTGTGTACAGTTTGTATCCCTTGTTCAGCAAACTAGCTTTTCTCATCAGCCCCATTACTACATTGAAAGTATGGCCTTCATTTTCACTTTCTATTGTATCGGGGTTAGGGGTGTAATTTTTCCCAGTATATATATCAAAAACAGAAGTGTACCCACTTGATGATTCTGACACCATGTATGATTTCAAACCAAAACGATCTGGTTTACTTGGAATGTACTGCCTGAAGTGAATATTCCCTCTCCATGGCACCATTCCTTCATCAAGACTAATACACTGCTCACACGTATAAACTTCCGACAAACGGCATGTTATGGTGTCATACAAAGGTCGGATTTTGAAAAGAGGGTCATATCCGGCTTCACCGCGAGCGACGTAGGCAGCATTATCATTGAAGTGCAGAAATTTTAAAATGAGCTCAAATCTATCTCTTGGCATCATGCTACGATAAAAAGGCGTCGAAATTATCGGATTTAGGCTCCAATAATCATCAAGATCGTTCTTATGGAGCATCGACATAGCGATTGTCATGGCAAGAAAAATCTTCATCTCTATGGCGTCTATGTTTACATTCTTCTACTTCCGGAGTCTGGAGTGCGGTTTTCACCGTTGCGTGCAAGATGACCATTTGCGTACGAATTTGTCTGCTCGACAATGCTGATAATGTCCTCATCTTTAAGAAATAACTTGACAAAATATAATGCGGTTGCGTTTTCCGGCAATTGAACATTGAGTCCCGGAACACCGGTGAACGGTGGTACCAAAATGTCGTCGCCACTTGCTTTCGATTACCAGCCAAGACGAGTATCGTCGGCAACTTCCACTCCAGAATTTTCAATCTCCCACTCGGTATCATCATTCGGAATGTCACCAAAATCGATCTCTTCCGCAGTAAAACCTTCAAATTCGTATTCAGAATCAGAATCGGCAAATATTTGATCCCATACAGCTTGTATTTCAGGGTCATCGAAATGCAAATTTGGCGTTGCCATTTTGATTGCGTTGCTAGTCAAACATTCAAAGTT